AATTGCAATTGAAATAAAGTATGATAAAGTAAATTCAAACCACACGAATTGAACAGTTACAACCTTGGGGAGGAGGGGGTGAGCCACCCTTGAACATAATGTACTTTGATCAGTGTCAAGACACAGTTGAGTAAGAGCTTAAAGAGATAGTAACAGTATATTGCTTCTGAATGCGTGTTATAATATCTTTTACAAGTAATTAGACCGCCTTACATAAGAAGAGATTTCTATATTATATACAACTCTATAAAAGGTAAAAAAACTCTTGATTCACTGATTTGCCAGTTCCTTCTTGATACGTGCCGAGATTTCCACCGTAATATCTGCCCTGTTACGGATATTTCGGTCGTATGTTATTTCGGTCTTCTGTTGGTTACACTGATAATGCTTCCTCGAGCTTGTTGGGGGTCAGGGTTGATTCCGGGATCACATATTCAATGTTCTTGAGGACATACATTCTGATCTTGGATTTCTGGTCCGGTGGGACTTGGGGTCTATCTTCAGCCCCTCACGTTTCGAGCCCGATATATCATGTCGTAGATGGGCCCAATTTCTACCGTATACAATATGTAAATATCATTACAATGTATTTATAAAATGTTTACTTTATAATTATGGTCATAGATCTACTGGTCTTGTCTTTGTATAGTAATGGACTACTTTTATATAACTGCGCAGCTAATTATATAATATATTTTATTTTAACTAATTTTAGGTATCGGCAGCGACCCTTATCGCCATTAAAGGTGTAATTACAGAAATATTTTGTCGCCGCTAAAAATATTATGTTGCCATAGGTCGCTAGTTCTAGGGGCGATCGGAGATACTTTCCGTGGCGACTCTATGGTCATCTAGCGACTTTAGTCGCCACAGAAGTCCAATTAGTTGTCGTCTTCCTAATTAATTGAAATAATTACAGAAAATTTAGAAGGAACAAATGAAGAAATTATATGTGGTTCTTCTAACAGTAAAATATTTTATTAAAATAAATTTAATTCATCAAAACGACTAATCTATATTTCTGACCTAAAAAAAGTACTAATATTTTGCATTTTAAATACTTTTTATATTTTGAACCATATAGGATGGTCCATGTATCTTGATAAAGAAAATGTTAGGTTTGCTCTTACATTATATTATTAAGAATCACAATGAATTAAATAAAAAATTGTAACGCATATTATCATGTACAATTTTAGTAATCTATCTTTTTAAATAATTTAAGGGTCATTGAGCTATACTTAGTAACCTACTATTCAAATTAAAGTTAATCGTATCAATTTTTATAGAGGTTATTCTTTTGCTAGGATATCTCCTAATTGATCTCTGAAGGCTAGAGATGATTTTACAGAGTTCGTCTGTATCTAGCCAAAATTAACAAATTAAAAGTCATGTTAGCGTTAAGATCAGATTATGTAAAGTTGTGAAGTTACCTTCTTCTTGTGCAAATTTATAAAATACGACTTTTAAGATTTTATGTTTGCTCTGTAAATTTTAGTTTAAAGGTCAACTAATGATTCTTATTTTGAATTATAAGTTGTTGAGTGTGCGAACAAAGTCCTATATTGGCAGCTGAAAAAATTGGGAGTCTACATATAAGATGTAAGAATCTCTTAATGTTGTGAGGCCTTTTCGGGAAAACTGTGCTGGCTTGTCCAAAGCGAACAATATCATACTATGTCGGAAAAACTCAGAAATAGCTATATTTACAACTGATAATTGAATAATAGTCACAATTTCAAAAGTAATTAAAATTTAGCCACTTTTTCATGTACAGATAAAATTTCAACAAAAATACTGTTAAAAATCCGAAAATATTCCAGCACAATATGTAGGATTTCCATCATAATATGCTGAAAGTTTATACGCAGCAAAACAATGACTATTTTTTAATGACTTCCCAAATGTTACTATTTCAATTACCGGTCCGAAAAATGGCTAGCCCGTGCTATTTTTACCACCGGCATATTAAAAATATCTTCGGGTTTGTTTAGCTCAACACAAGGAAATACTTACTAGGTACAATTTCATTTTGAAATATCAAAATCAGTATTGTAAATGTTAAAACTATTTGAGCTCCAAACTAATAATAGGTGCTGATGAGAATGGCTCGTTAAATTTCCTTTCATTAGAGGTAACTTCAAAATTTAAAGTTATCTGTTCAGAATTAGCGTAATTTTATTATATATTTTCTACATAGTTCGAGAAAAAAATTAAAGCTCGTTCAACTAATTGCAAAAGCTATTTTAGTTTATCTTTTTCCAAGAATGGTATTGGCGGCGACCCAATATCGTCGCCGGTAATAGTATATGCTGCTATCCGTAGCTAGTTCTAGAGGCGACCTAACGAGCGTACTTTCCGTGGCGACTTTCTGATCTTTTGTAGCGAATTTAGTCGCTAAATAACAAATACTTATAGTCTCATTAACTACTACAACAACAACAATCCAATAAAATCTCACCAGTGGGGTCTGGAGAGGGTGGAGTGTACGCAAACCTTACCTCTACCCCGGAGGTTGTTTCCAGGAGACTCTCAGCTCATATACAATAGATCCCTGACAACAACACAAACCTGAAAAATAATATCAGCAACGTGAGAGACAACAAATAAATGAAAAAGCAATAACACAAATATTATGCAAAAGTGTAAAACACAACATAAACCGTTGGTAGTACTAGACAAAACACTATCATACTAGCTGGTACAAAGAGTGAAACTGGGACAAAGAGGAAAATCGTTGGACTACCCCTTAACCTACAACCCTAATGCTCGACCTCCACATCTTCCAATCAAGAGTCATGTCCTCGAAAATCTAGAGTCGCGTCATGTCCTATCTGATCACCTCACCCCAATACTTCTTAGGCCGCCCTCTACCTCTTCTCGTACCTGCCAAAGCCAACCACTCACACCTCCTAACCGAGGCATCTAGGCTTTTCCTCTGCACGTGCCCGAACTATCTAAACCGCGCTTCCCGCATCTTGTCGTCCACCGGAGCCACGCTCACCCTCTCCCGAATATTTTCATTCCTAATCTTATCTAGCATAATGTTCCCGCATATCCATCTCAACACCCTCATTTCTCCTACTTTCATCTTCTGGATATGTGAATTCTTGTCTGGCCAACACTTAGCCCTATACAACATGGTCGGTCTAACCATTGCACTATAGAACTTACTTTTGAGTATCGGTGTCATATTCTTGTCACATAGGACTCCAGACACTAACCTTCATTTTATCCACCCCATCCCAATATGGTGCGTAACATCCCCGTCGATCTCCCCATCTTCCTGGATAATTGACCCTAAGTACTTGAAACTTTCTCTCTTGGGAATGACTTGTGAGTCAAGCCTCACTTCTACGTCCGCTTCCCCCGTCACGTCGTTGAACTTACACTCCACATATTCTGTCTTAATCCTACTTAACTTGAAATCTTTAGATTCCGAGGCCTGCCTCCACCTCTAGTCTCTCATTAATGTCGCCTCGCATTTCATCAATCAGAACTATATTATCACCGAACAACATACACCATGACACTTCTCCTTGAATATGGTGTGTCAGTGCGTCCATCGCCAGGGAAAATAAGAACAGGTGAGCGCAGATCTTTAGTATAACCCCATAACCACCGAAAAAGGCTCTGAGTCACCTCCCATAATCCTAACCCGAGCCATAGATCCATCATACATATTCTTTATCGCCCTAATATAAGCCACCGACACACCTTTCACCTCCAGACATCTCTAAAGGACGTCCCTAGGGAACTTGTCATACGTCTTCTCTAGGTCAATAAACACCATATGCAAATCCCTCTTCCGATCCTTTTATTGTTCCACAAACCTCCTGATAAGGTGGATAACTTCCGTAGTAGAACGACCTGGCATGAATCCAAACTGGTTTTCCGATATAGACACTACCCTCCTTATCCTCCCTTCCACCACCCTTTCCAAAACTTTCATGGTATGACTTAGCAACTCGATACCCCTATAGTTGTTACAATTCTGGATATCACCTTTGTTCTTGTACACCGGAACCATCGTACTCCACTACCACTCATCAGGAATCCTCTTCGTCTTGAAAATAATATTAAACAACCCAGTTAGCCACTCCAAGCCTGCTCTACCCGCATATTTTTAAAATTCTATTAGAATCTTGTCTGGTCCGGTCGCTTGCCCCGACTCGTCCTACCTATCGCTCCCACGACTTCCTCAACCTTAATGTGCCTACAGTACCTAAAGTCGCAGTGACTCTCGGAGTGCCCCAATTCCCCTAACACGATATTTCTGTCCCCCTCTTTATTAAGAAGTTTATGAAAGTACGACTGCCATCTTTGCTTAATTTGGGCCTCTTCCATCACTACTTGACCTTCCTCATCTTTGATGTACCTCACTTGATTCAGGTCGCGAGCCTTCTTCTCTCTCGCTTTGGCCAGCCGAAATAACTTCTTGTCCCCACATTTGCCCCCAAGTTCCTCATACAGCCGACCGAATGCAGCAGTCTTAGCCTCCGTAACCGCTAATTTTGCCTCCTTCCTAGACTCCTTATATCTTTCTCTGTTCGTTCTCCTCTGATCCTCGTCGGTGCTCTCTACTAACTTAAGGTAAGCCGCTTTCTTGACTTCCACTTTACCTTGGACCACATAATTCCACCACCAGTCGCCTCGGTGACCGCCAGAGTAACCCTTCGAAATCCCCAACACCTCTCTCATTGCCTCCCTTATACAGTCCGTCGTTGTCGTCCACATAGCGCTAGCGTCCCCACCACTCTTCTAGGCTCCCATAGCCGTTAGCCGCCCCTCCAACTCCCGCGTATTATCCTTAGTCAAAGCTCCCTACCCGATCCTCAACTGACCCCGTATAAACCTCTTCTTCCTTTTTATCAAGATACCAACGTCCATCACCAGGAGCTTATGTTGAGTCGCGAGGTTCTCACTCAAGATCACCTTGCAATCCTCGCACAATCTCCTATCACACCTCCTGGGGAGGAAATAGTCAATTTGAGTCTTAGCTACCATACTCTGAAAGTAACCAAATGCTCCTCCCTCTTCGAAAAAATAGAGTTCACGATCACCAACTCAAAAGCTCTAACGAAATCCAATAGTGAAGTACCATCCCCATTCCTAACACCAAAGTCGAAGCCACCGTGTACCTCGCCATAGCCACCATCAGATGACCCAATATGACCATTGAAATTCCCTCCTACGAATAACTTCTCCGTAGACGGAATACCCCGCACCACCTCATCCAGCGCCTCCTAGAAGTGCCTTTTAACCTCCTCGTCCAAGCCCGTTTGCGGTGCGTAAGCGCTAATGACATTCAAGGTGTTCCCTCCAACTACTAACTTAATCACCATCAATCTGTCATTCACCCGCCTAACCTTTATCACTGACTCTCTGAGCTCCTTATCTACCAAAATACCCATTTTGTTCTTGCCTTTAACGACTTCGGAGAACAACAATTTATACCCGTCTGCATTCCTCGCCTTCGATCCTACCCACCTAGTCTCTTCTACACATGCTATATTGACCCTCCTCTTCTGGAGAATCTTCGTCATCTCTATAGACTTACCCGTCAATGTCCCTATATTCCACGATCCAATTCTCAACCTACAACGCCCTTGTTCCCTTTACCCCCTATGGGTCCCGTACCAGCCCTGACCCTTGCCCTCCCCCCTCCCCACCACCCGCCCTCTCGAGGACATGACGCTACTCTGCCATTACAAACCACAGCCGCTATACCTACGTAAGACTTTAAAAAAAAAGCCAAACAGAACAACAAAGGAAGTAAATAGTAACTACAAGCCAACTACTAGACTGACTAGACTAGTACGAATTACTACGACAACAAAGTAACTACACAGGAGACAGAGAAATAGGAGGCGGGAGGTACCAATTCCTGCGAATAGAACCTTGACTTTCGACTTGGTATACTCCTGATGTTGTGGAACCCGACGTATAGTTGCTGCTCTACTGCTTCTGCGAGTGCACCTCCCTACCATCACCAAATAGCCACAAAAGTGATACCTGCAAAACACACAAACACCATAGAATCAAGAAAAATATAGGAGGACCGGGTTGTCACTGTCACCAGCGGCAGAAAAATGCGAATCTGGTAATTACCCACTTGAAGTCACAGAAAAAAAATTGACAAAATTACCTGTGGTTCTTTTAACAGTCAAATTCTTTATTAATAATGCTAAATCTTATGTGGAGACATTAAATCTCTTACTACACACCCAAATGACCCCAAAATTTTTAAATGCATGATCATTAACTTTTGTTTTCCTCAAAAAAAAAAAAACTATACTTTTAATTTTTTCCCAGAAACAAAAAACAACAAATAAGAAGGCACTTCAATCATTTGCATCTATAATATGAAATATTTCTTAAAGGCATTCTATTCTAGATGGAAAAAGTATAGTATTAGTTGTTTCCTAAGAAAATATAGTAGACTTCTCTATAACAAGATCAATATATAACATTCATTTATTATAAAAGCCAAGTTATTTATGAAACCAATTTTTATGTTATGTTATAATATATGTTTTATATAACAGCACTTCGCTATGACAGACAAAAAAATTCGGAACAAACGAGGCTATTAAATACTAATCCTGGCATTATTAATGGCAAAGCAATCTCATAAAATCACAACCAACTGTGTGAATATAATCCAGATTAATTAAATCTAATCCTTATTTAATTCATTCATATCAATATTCTCTCTTCTCTAATTGACTAATTTTGTGTTATTTAATGCTAAATGAACAATCTTCTTATTTAAGTAGGCTTATGATGGATGATACTTTGTGAAGATTATTCGATTAGTTTCGTGTTGAAGAGGGACACTTTGCCGGATTGGGAAGAATCTTCAAGTTTTTCTCTTTGGAAGTGTGGTAATTTTACTATTTTCGCAATTCTTTTTAAAGGATCCATCTTGTTATATCTTTTTCCTTTTTCCTTTTTATTTGAAACAGAAGTTGAAACTAATAACGAGAAATAGGTCGGATCAGATGGGATGAGTCTATTTTTTTTTGTTTAAAGTTCAGTATATTATAAAAGTTACTGACCTAATCAAAAGGGAGAAATGCTTCCTACCAGAAGGTTTTTCATTTTATGAACATGAACTCGAGATTCTAATTAAAAATAAGAAATTTATCTATCTCACCACATCTCGAGTAACACACTAACATTGTCATCGATCTACTATTAATTTCTACAAGTACATGTATATATTTGTTCGACCTTGTAATCTTCTTTCCAAGTTTTTCCTATCCTTCCCAATAAGTATAATAATAAAATTAGAAGGAAAAAAAAAACAACAAATGAAAAGTATCCTTATATTATCTCAAGTTAGGGATCATGATGAAACTCACTACCTTATTTTATCTACATAGATATAATCTCTAAGGGGTAAATATTAAATAAAAAAAAATCACAACAAACTTCATGCTTGTGATTTGGATCTTATTTTAAGCTTTTTCTTATATTTTAGTCACATAACTCCTTCTAACCAGCATGTTATCAAAAAAATTAAAATATTAAGCTATGATCTTCATTGATTCGTAGTTGAACTAGACAAATATAATGTTCAATATCTGCATATTTTTAATTAGATGGAGGACTTAATCTCTCAATTAAAGTTAATATATAAAGTGAAAGCAAAAAATCAGGTGAGATTTGCAAAGGAATAAATAAAAATAAAAATAAATAATTAAAAGCAAAGAGGAGATCGCTGACTCAGCAACGAACAGTCAACACTTTGCCAGCCACCTGCTGGGCCACGCGGTTTTAGGTATTTCCAAACCTCACTTTCCATTCCTAGAAACTCCATAAGACTCCTTTTGACACGCGAGAGATAAAGGATAATTAATTTTAAAATTTGAAATTAATTTATCTCATATTTAATTAGAATAAAATTATAGTATAACTAATTCAAGAATTAGTTATTCGGGAATTATAATGTTTTTTAATCCCTATAAGAGATTAAGATAACCAATCACAAGATAATTAATCCCAGAAAAATTAATCATATGATAACGTGTTTCCAACCAAACAACCTCTAAGTTAGCATTTATTTTTTTACCGATCCAATTTCTCGTTTCATGTGTTTACACTAACCAATAAATCCATAACATATATTTTTATAAAAATAATTAACATTAAACAAAATTAATTAGTATAATTTGATGTAAATACTCTGCGAATAAATTTTTATCATCAAGGAATATAGTAAGATGAAGGAAATTCATCCGGACTAATCAGAGGTCTCGGATTTAAGTCTTCAAAAATAAAATAAAAAGGTCTAATATAAAGTGTTACTTCTTTGATAAGTCTTCTATGGTACGATTTGAATTAGTCGAGGCAATAAATTCAAACACCAAATAATTAATATGAATCAGAGGAGAAAAACAGAAAAACACTCCTTAATATATCAAAGATTTTTCATATTTTTTAAGCTTGCATATGAAATAGTCACATATCATAAAGTCACATAATCTTTATTTTATTTAGTTAAACACAAATGTTCTCCTCACATTAGTAGAGTTAGTACAAAATTAGGTGAGGATTACTTTTTACTATTTAACTTTATCAACTCGTTAAAGTGACATCTTACTACTCCATATATCGCAGTTTATACAATAGTTACTAGAATTTGAATAGTCAATACCTTTTTAATGGTATTTTTAAAACATTTTAGATACTCTTTTAATTATAAAAACTGTGATTTATAATATTTTTTTATATGTTATATTTAACTCTGTAAATTTCATTACAAGTAGAAGGAGAAATCAATATTCAAAAATAAATGAAAATTTATAGATAATAATTTGATCATTCTTAAATTGTTCTTTCTGCACTTAGCAAGAGTCAACTATTTCATGCTCTTATCATGTTTCATTATTTTTGTTCAACTTTAGAATTTCTAAAAAGGAGAACATTTCAATTTATAGTAATCTTCATGTTAAATAGCTTTAGACTCTTCAATAATTGATGTTTCAATTTTCAATTTCAAAGTTTCACCCTAGAATTCCCTTTATTAAAGTTCTCAAGTCTAAGTCTTGAAAAAAAAAATTGTAATAAAATCTTTTCCCTCAAATGAATCGTATATGGCATAAATCTGAATTAATCAGATATTAGGTCTAAATATAGCTTGAAAATTCGATAATACCTTTCACATGACCTACTAGACAATTCCTACATACGCAATCCAAATTAGTCGAGCAAGTAAAAAGGCAGCCCGATCCACTAAACTGCCGCTATGTGCGGGGTCAGGGAAAGAGTCTTACTTGTATTTCTGTAAGAGGTTATTTTCACATAACCCGTAATCTCCTGATCACATGACAGCAACTTTACCGGTTACACCAAGACTCGCTAATCGAGCAAGTGAATTCCTAATATCATATGATTAAAAAAAAAAAAAAATCTAAAGTTAAATTCCCATATTACCCTTCACCTTCCCTACGAGACATTAATTCCCATTTTCATTAATTTCTTTTGAAGGTAGGTTTCTTTTTCTAATAATAATGGAGTCAACAAACAGCAGACGAAACGTCTGGTCAAAAGTCAAACCTTTTGTCTTTCCCTTTCCCTCTCCCGTCATCTACTTCTAACCAACTCCCCCTTTACCCCCACTACCCCCACCCATCCC